GTTCTAGGGAGGGACCTGCCTTCAACTTCCCTAAAGAAAAACTGCTGTGATTGGGGAACCTGGTCTTGAGGACAGTAGATATTAGGAGAGGAGGCTGAAACTAGGGAGAAATTTCATCTCAGAGTGAGGGTTCATGGAGGTTCCAGAGAGGGAGCTGCTTGTAACTCTCCCGGAGAGAAACTGCTGCATTTCAGGAAAATGGTTGACCATCAAGGACATCTGGGGAGATCTTTTTTCCCAGATTTGGGGCACATTTAAGTGCCTTGTAAAGAACTGCTTGCAACTCCCTTGGAGAGAAACTACTGCAACTGGGGAACCATGGAAGTAAACAGACTTTAGTAGAGAGAGTGGCAATCCAGGGGTACACTTTCTCCCAGAGCTGAGGCATGCCAAAGTGCAAGGAAGGGTGCAGCCTGCACCTTCCAAGGAGAGAAATTAGTGCAGTTAGGGAACATAGCTGACGATGGAGGACAATAGTCTTCAGGGATGTCGCTGTAATCAAGAGAGAGACTCCCAGGGGAGCTCTGGTGGCCTAGTGGCAAGAAGCTGCAACTACAATCCCAGAGGTGCACGGTTCGAATCCACCAGATGCTCTGCCGGGGAAGGAGGGGCAATCTCCTCCTGTACCAGTCAGATCTGATTTGACGGTACACGCACACAAAAATAATAAAATAAAATAAAAATTAAAAAAATTTAAAAGAGAGAGAGAGAGACTCCCTCTCCACATCCCCAGTGGGGCACACCAAGGTGCCAGGCAGAAAGCTACCTGCACCTCCCTGAGGAGAAATTGCTGCAGTTGGGGAAGCTGATTGACCTTAAGAACAAAAGATTTTAGAAAAGGGAGCTGCCAGAGAGTAAATTTCTAGCCTCATTGCGGCCCCCTTTTCTAAAATGCATTGTCCTTAAGGTCAACCAGCTTTCCCAGGGAGACAGCTACCTGCAACACCCCTTGAGAGAAACTGCTACAGGTGGGAAACCATGGAGGACTTTTAAACTTTAGAGAGAGGACTGCAATCAGGGCAAAGAATTCATCCCAAAGAGGAGGAACACAAAGGTGCCAGTGAGGAAGTCAGCTGCAACATCCCTGGAGAGAAACCTGTTGCAGTTTGGGAACCGGAAGTCCATTCAAGACAATAAGCTTTAGGTGAGGGGGCTGCAATCAGGTGAGAGACTTACTCCCAGGCAGAAGCACACCAAGGTCCTGGGGAGAGAGCTGCCTGAAATTCCTCTGAAGAGAAACTGTCACAGTTTGGGAATCATTAAGGACTGCAGACTTCAGGGTAGGATGCAGAAATTAGTTGAGGACTTATTCTAATAGTAGGGGAACATCAAAAGCCAAGGAGCTGCCTACAATTCCTTTTGAGAGAAACTTCTGTAATTGGGAGAACTTGGTTGACCATGGAAGATAATACTCTTCGGGAGAAGGGACTGTAATCATATGAGATACTTACTCAAAGAAGAAGAGCAAATGAAGGCCCCAGGAAAGGATCGTCCAGAAACTTCCCTGGAGAACAACTGCTGAAGATGAGAAAACATCAAGGAAAGCATTCATTAGTAGAGGGTACAGCAATCAGGTAAGAGACACCCTTCCAGAGAAGGAGCACACCAATGTGCCAGGATAGAAGTTACCTGTAACTCCTCTGGAAAGAAACTGTTGCAATTAGAGAACATGGATGACCATGGAGGAAAATAGACTTTATGGGAGGAGGTTGCAATCAGATGAGAGACATCCTTCCAGAATGGGGAACATCAAAGTTTCAACAGAAGAGATGCCTACAACTGACCTGGAGAAAATCTACTGCGATAGGGGAACTAGGCTGACCATTGAGGACACAGATTTAGGAGTAGAGGCTGCAATCAGGTGAGATACTTACTTTCAGTCAGGAGCACACTAAGGTATCAGGGACAGAACTACCTGAAACTTCCTTGGAGAGAATCTTCTGCAGTTGTGGAATTATCAAGGATGACAGGCCCACCTTCCAGGTACCAACAGCTTTAAATTAGAGGTTTTCATCTTCCTCATAACTTTGAATAAAAAAACCCCACTTCTGGGTTCCATTGCCTTAAATATGAGGCTCCAGCCCCCAACCGACTGTTAAACAAAAATACCTGCCTTCTGGGTCCCAACTGCTTTAAATAAGAAGCTCTGAGTCTACAACTGTTTGCTACTCAGTGAAACTCCAGTACCTAACAGACTGTTAAGCAAAAAGATCCCAATTCCAGATCCCAAGAGCTTTAAATAAGAGTCTCTGAGCCCCCAAGTGACTGTTAATAAACAAGGCTCATCTTCCAGGACCCAACTGTTGAAATAAGAGGCTCTCAACCCACAACTGACTGTTAATACAAAAGGACTTCCTTCCAGGTCCAAACTGCTTTAAATAAGAGGCTCCAATCCCACAATAGATTATTAGTTGGCCTACCTCTCAGGGCCCTACTATTTAAATTAGACTGTCTGCCTCCAACATACTGTTAATCAGAAAGTTTTGCCTTCCAGGTCTAACTGCTTTAAATAAGGGTGCTCTCAGCCCATAACTGACTATTAATGAAAAACACCCACCTTCCAGGTCCCAATTGTTTATGTAAGAGTTACCCAGCTTCAATGTACACTTAATAAAAAATGGTCGCTTTCCAGGTTCCAACACTCCAAACAACAGGCTCCCAACCCCAACTGACCTTTAATCAAAAACCTGCCTTCTGGGTCCCACTGTTTAAAATAAGAAACTCTGAATCTCAAATGACTGTTAATAAAAAAAATACCTCTCTCTGGGTCCCAACTGCTTTAAATAAGAGACTATTTCAACAGACAGTTAATCAAAAAGGTCTACCTTCCAGGTCTGAGTGGCTTCAAATAACAGGTTCCCTACTTCAATCAAAAAGACCCTCTGAGCTCCTGGGTCCCAATTACTTTAAATAAAAAGCTCTCTGTCCCAAACGCACTGTCGATAAAAATGGACTGCTGTCAGAGTACCAACTGCTTTAAATAAGATGTTCCCAGTGCCATGTTGTTGTTTCTGTTTTAGGTGTCATAAAGTCAAGTATGACTCATAGTAACCTTATAGACAAAAGATCTGAACCCTGTTCTACTCTGCACCATTCTCATACTTTTTGACCATCCACACACTTTCTGACACACAAGAGCCCATTGCAGCAGTCACCATTTCAGTCCAGTTAGTTGAGGGTCTTCGTCTTCTTTGCTGACCCTCCACATTTCCCAGTATCATGTCTTTCTCCAAGTAATAGCACCTCCTAGAAACATGCCCAAAGTATGTGAGGCAAAGTTTCATCATTCCTTCCTCCAAAGAGCACTCTTACTGCACCCTCTCCAGGAAATATCTGTTCATTCTCCTGGCAGTTCCATTGGGCCGTTCAGTACTTTTCTCCAACACCAAAGCTCAAAGGCATCAATTCTTTTTTCCATCATCTTTATTCATAACCCAGCTCTCAGATGTGTAGCAAGTAATAGGAAAGACCGTGGCCTGAATCCAACACACCTGAGTCCTCAAACTGACATCATCACTCTTCAATAATTTGGGGAGGTCCCTAACTGCAGATTTTCCCACTACAATGCATCTCTTTATTTCCCAACTACTGGTACCAAGGGTGTTAATTGTGGATCCAAGTATGACGAAGCTGTTGACAGTTTCAATCTCCTCTTGATCAATCATGATGCAGTGGTAAGAATATTTGTATTCTTGATATTGATCCAGTGGTAAGAATATTTGTATTCTTGATATTGCAATGTAATCCATACTGAAGAATTCATTCCACAAATGGTTCCAGTCTTCCTCGCTTTTAGCAAGCAAGATTGTGTATTGCATAACACAGGTTATTGATGAGTCTCCCTCCAATCCTTTTGTCACATTCCTTGTCATAGAGTCTAGCTTCTCGGGTGATTTGCTCAGCATACAGATTGAATAGGTATGGAAAGAGAATACAATCCTGACACACACCCTTCTCAATTTTAAACCGTGCAGTGTTCTCCTGCTCTGTTCATACAACAGTCCAGGTATAGGTTCCGCATAAGCACAATTAAGTCTAGGATTCCCCTTTTTCACAATGTCAGCCACAACTTGTTATGATCTATATAGTCAAATGCCTTTGCATAATCAATAAAGCATAAATACACATTTTTTGGTATTCTTTACTTTCAGCCAGGATCCATCTTATATCAGCAATAATATCCCTGGTGCCATGGCCTCTTCTAAATCCTGATAAACATCTGTCATTTCCCTATCTATGTATTGTTCTGGCTGTTTTTGAATGATCCTCAGCAGTATTTTACTTGAATGGGGTAGTAATGATATTATTCGATAGTTTCCACATTCAGTTGGATCAGCTTTCTTGGGAATGGGAACAAATATGGACCTCTTCCAACTTGTTGACCAGACAGCTGTCCTCCAAATTTCCTGGCATAGACTAGTGAATACATCCAGGGCTGCATCTGTTAATTGAAGTAACTCAATTGGTATTCCATGGATTCCTGGGACCTAATTTTTTTGCCAATGCCTTCAATGCAGCTTCTACTTCATCCTTCATTACCATTGGCTCTTTTTCATAAAAAAAAATCCCCCTATTCTAGGTCCTAAATGCTTTAAACAAGACGTTCCAAACCTCTAACTTACTATTAATAAAAAAAAGACCTATCTTCCAAAAGACACATAAAGAAATGCTCAAAATCGATGGCAATAAGAGAGACATAAATCAAAACCACAATTTGATACCATCTCACACCAGTAGCAGTGTCAAAGTTTAACAGGGCAAGTATTAAAAATTGGAAAAGATGTGGAAGATAGAAACTCTTATACATTGTTGGTGCGATTGTAAAATGATACAACTACTCTGGAAGGCAGTTTGATTTGATCATCTATAAGCTTCAGGGTTCCTCACACATTTATTGCCATCATGTCAGAACTGACTCCAAGCTGACCTGGCAGGAATCCAAGGAATCCAAGACCACTATGATCACCAAACAGGATTCTCTTTGGGGAAGATTCATCAGCATGAACAGCTGTGGTCCAGCCAGGCTCTTAGACCTTGCAAACCAGAGCCTGTTGAGGAATGAGACCTGGAACATTGCCGCTCTGGAGTGGCTTCCCACTGAACTCTTTCCACCCTTGTTCATGGCTGCTGTCACTGGGAGACACAGCCACATGCTGAAGGCAATGGTGCAGGCCTGGCCTTTCTCCTGCCTCCCTCTGGGGGTTCTGATAAAGGCTCAACACTCTTGCAGGGAGATCTTACAGAGAGCACTGGACGGGCTTGATGTTCTGGTTGCCCAGAAGACTTACCACAGGAGATCAAAACTGAAAATGCTAGATTTAAGGGAGAAAGCTCATACAACATTCTGGAACAGATGATCTGGGAACCAGGAGCCAGAGACTGTGTGGACCAGAACTAAGATGGGGAAAGTGGATGAATCACGGAGAGGTGCAGAGCAGCAGACTGCTGCCCATGTGAAGATGCTTGTACATATGTGCCTCAAGGAAGCCTCCCTGGATGAATGGTCTGCTTTCCTGATTCAGGGGGTCCCGCAAAGGAAAGGTCTGCTACACCTGAGCCACACGAAGCTGAAGATTGTTGCAATACCACTCCGGAGTGTAGAGGAGATGCTGAAAATGGCTCACCTTTAATGTGCCTGGTTGGTGATAGTGCACTGCACTTGGGAGTCATCCCCACTGGCCAGATTTACTCCTCACCTAGTCTAATTTATCTGTCAGTTCCTCAGCCAGCAGCAACTCCAGGAGCTCTACTTGGGTTCTCTCCTCTTTCTTGAAGGTCGCCTGGACCAGTTGCTCAGGTGCCTGCAGAACCCCTTGGAGACCCCCTGGATAAAAAAATTGCATGTTTTTGGAGCCTGGTTTGACACACTTTACTAACATCAGTCATCTGAGTGCTATCTATCTGACCAGTTTAAGTCTTGAGTTCTTCCAAGTTTTGCTAGAGAGAGCCTCAGCCTTACAATATTTGCACCAGTGAACCAAAACATGTATGTCCTTCAGCTCCTCTTACAGCTTTGTTGTAACCACACACCTATTGGATTGTCATATAAAGGGTTTTTTGTTGTAGATTGAACTGTGTTTCCCAAATAATGTATTATAAATCCTAACCTCTAGGTCTGAGATTGTATTCCCACAGATTAATGAGTTGTCTTTGTTGTGTTGAGAAGAGTGGATTAGGGTAGTTTGCATCATTGAGATAGGAAAGAGATCAAAACCAAGCTACTCCATAGAGAATGGGGTAAAGATGTGTCAACCAGCATGAAGAGACACTCGAAGAAATGGATATTGCTCTAGAACTGACAGAAAGACTTCCCCTGAAGGTGGCATCTTGAGTTTGACCTTGCTGCTTAAACTGATAGAAAACCAACTCATTTGTTACAGTCATCAACTTGAGATGCTTCTGTTATAGTAGAGATGAGAGTCAGAATTTCTGGAGAAGAATGTGGGCTTGGGAAATCCATGTGGAATTGTACTTGCATGGATGATTGTAGAGAAATAAAATGGACAAATAAAATGGACTAAAACAGAAAAAAAAGCTGAACATAGAAATTCCATATGACCCAGCTATTCTACTGATTGCAGTATACCCTGAAAAAAATTAGAATTGAGGCACAGAGATTTGTACACCAATGTTCATCGCAGCATTTTTCATCATCACAAGAACACGGAAATAGCTCAAATGTCCACCCACATTCGAATGGATTGAAAAATCACCATACATTCACACGATGGAATACTATGTAGCATGCAGGAACAATGATTTGGAAAATTACTACCTAACTTGGGAGGGTCTGGAGAACATTATGCTAAGTGAACTAATTCAGTTCCATAAGGATAAATACTGTGTAAGACCATTATTGTAGAAATAGAAAGATAACTATTAAAACATATATGAAGATCCAAGGAGAGGAAGGGTTGTAGCTGAGAGATGAGGATGGGAAGAGGGGCAATCATACAATTCCACAATCTGATGGGTAGAGTAGAGGGAGGGTTGGGTAAATGAAATGGGAAAGATCCAGTGTGAAAATCAATGTATATGAGCTTTGTAAGTAAATCAGTATAAAATAAAAACATGCATTAGTTATCTTCAAAAGCCTATATTAGAGGTACCAAATGCTTCAAATAAGAGGCTCCCACCCCAAACCCACTGTTAATAAAAAGGCCCACCTTCTGGGTCTTAACTGTTTAAATAATTGGTTTCTAGCCACAATTGACTGATAATAAAAAACGCCTGCTATCCAAGTCTCAGCTGCCATAAAGAAATGGCTCCCAGCCCACAACAAATTGTTGATCAAAAGGCCCAACTTCTGAGTTCCCAAATGCTACAAATATGAGACTACCTGCTTACAACTGACTGGTTTTGTTATGTTTTTAACATCTAAAAGTAGTGTTTTATTCAGCACAATTTGGTAAACACTTCTTCAGTGTAATGGTTCATATTTATGGCTGTATAAAAGAAATTGTATACTAAATCAATCTGACATACATTAAAAAAGAAATCTGTAATAAATATTCAAAAACACCATTAACGCATCTAGCATTGTTGGTTGTATTTCTTCAGGAAACCAGGGCAGACAGTTAAAATGCCCTCTTGGGAATGATAAATAACATCTCATCAATGTGATCAATCACATAATCAAGGATTATAAATTTACAACAAATAATTAAAGTTAATATTTTAGGTTTTGGGCTTTTTTGGGGTGTTTTTTGTTTGTTTGTTTTTTAGAATTAGAAGACAAAAAGAAAAAAAATATTTTCTTCACAACTGTCTGTCAATCAAAATGGCTTGTCAATTGTTTTAAATAAGAGTCTCCCAGGCACTAACCATCAGTTAATCAAAATAAGGAAGTCTCTGTCCATAAATGACTATTAATAAAAAAGCCCCACCTTCTAGATCCCAGTTGCTTCAAATAAGAGTCTCCTAGCTACTAAAAGACTGCTAATCAAAAAGGTCACAACTCCTTTATTTTTTCCCTATATGCATGAAATTTTTAATATTTTTATTAGTAATTTAAGGATATTTTCGTGTATCTGGAAGTATTTCTTCCACTTTTTCAAGTTTTTTAATTATACTAGTTTATCTACAAATTTCAAATACATTGTTTTCCAGAACAGATTCTTCTAATTCCCCTCAACCCTCCCACACACATTAAATTGTTAAACCCCATGATTAATCTCCCTCCCCCTGCACATCCTCATCCCTTTGCTTCCAGCCCCCCCTTAAATCCTCATACTTATTCTACAATAATGGTTTTATGCAATATTTGTCCTTGTGGGACTGAGTTAGTTCACTCAGCATAATGTTCTCCAGTCTCTTCCAAGTTAGGTAATAATTGACAAAATCTTTACTACTTTGTGCTGCATAGCATTCCATTGTGTGAATGTACCATAATTTCTCAATCTATTAATTTGTGGTTTGACATCTGGGCTGTTTCTATGTTCTTGTGATGGTGAACAACACTGCTATGAACACTGGTGTACATATCTTTGTTTGTGTCTCAGTTCCCATTTCCTCAGGGTATTTTCCAAGTAATCGAATAGCTGGGTCATATGGAATTTCTATGTTCAGCTTTTTGAGGACGCTCCAAACTGACTTCCAGAATGGTTGTACCATTTTACAATCCCACCAACAATCCAACTCATTTAAATAAGAGACTTTCTGTCCCAAACACATGATTCATCAAAAGAACTGCCTTCCAGGTCCCACCTGCTTTAAATAAGTAGATCCCAGCCCCTAATTGACTGTTAATTTTAAAAGTCTGCATTCTAGGTCTCAATTGCTTTAATAAGAGGCTCCTAGCCACTCAACTAGTTGTTAATTAAAAAATGTTATTTGGGTCCCAACTGCTGTAAAGATAAGGCTCCCAGCCACCAATTGACTGTTAAGAAAAAGCTCCAACTCTTGGGTCCTTAAACAAGTTGCTCTCAATCCACAACAGTTAATATAAAGGTCTACCTCCAAGTCCTAAGTACTTTTAATATGATTCTCCAGCACTAACTGACTGTTAACCATAAAGTCCACCTTTCAGGTCCAGTTGCATTAAATAAGAGCCTCCCAGCCCCCATCTGACTGTTAATAGAAAAGACCAGACTTTCAGATGTCAATTGCTTTAAATAAGAGGCTGCCAGTCCCCAAAAGACTCTAAATCTAAAAGATAAAACCTTTAGGGAAGAATTGCCTTAAATAAGAGCCTCTCAAGCCCAACTAACTATTAATCAATCAAAAGGCCTCACTTTGAGACATAACACTCCCTGACCTCAAAACCTACTATGCAGTGGTAGTAACCAAAATAACATGGTACTGATACAATAAAAAGGCACATAGATGAATGGAACAGAAATGAGAACCCAGAAATGGACCCACCTATATATGGGCAACTGATATTCGACAAGGAAACAAAACCTATCAAATGGGGAACGACAGCCTCTTCAATGAATCGTGCTGGCAAAACTGGACTAATACCTTCAGAAAGCTGCAACAGAATCTACATCTCACACCATATACAAAAATCAACTCTAGGTGGATCAGAGACCTGGGATTAAAGACCTAAACCACAAAGTTCATTAGAGAAAAACTGAGACAAAGCTTACAAGGCTTAGCCTATGGTATAAAGAGACTTCCAAATACAGCCAGAAAACACAATCTGGAGAGGACAAAATTGATGAATGAGACCTTCTAAAGATTAAATCTTTGTGCTCAACCAACACTTTTTTCCAACAGGGTGAAAAGAAAGCCTACTGACTGGGAACAAACATTTGGCAATAACATTTCAGACAAAGGTTTCATAATAAAAGTTTACAGAATACTCCTGAACCTCCAGAAGGAAAAGACTAACAGCCAAATTACAAAATGGGCAAAAGTCATGTAAAGACTTTACACAGAGGAAGACATTCAGTGGCCAACAGACACATGAAGAAATGTTCAAAGTCATTGGCAATAAGTGATGCAAATAAAAATCACAATGAGATACCATCTCACACCAATAGCAGTGGCAAAGTTTAGTAGGGTAGTAAGCAATAAGTGTTGGTAAGAATATGGAGAGGCAGGAACTTTTGTACACTGTTGGTGGCATTTTAAAATGGTGAAACCACTCTGGAGCACAATTTGGAATTTCCTCAAAAAGTTGACCATAGAAACCCCATATGACCCACCTATTCCACTACTAGCGATATACCCCAAGGAAATTAGAATGAAGATTTTTAGACCAATGTTCATGTAGGCATTATTCACAAGCCAAGAACATACAAACAGCCCAAATGTCCAAACACAACAGAATGGATTGAGAAATTGTGGTACATTCACACAATGGAATACTATGAGCAAAGATTTTAAAAAATACTATGTAACTTGAGAAAGACTGGAGAGCATTATGCTAAGTGAACTAATGCACTCTGTTGTTGTTATTGTTAGTTGTCATCGGGTTGTAGATGACTCATAGAGAGCCTATGAATGAAACACCTGAACACTTGTGTAACTTTGTTCGCTTTTCCATGTTCATAGAGTTTCCATCAGCAAGCCATTTTGGAAATGGATGCCACTCCTGCTTCTAAATGCACTCTAATAAAGACAAATATTGCATAAGTATTGCATAATACCATTATTGTAAAACCACAAGGATAAATATTAAAAC